CAATATTTGTTCATGTCACTTTAAATCTGAGTTGCTAGCTCTTTCTTGTAAGAAGTTTTTTTGAGCTTTATTCCTCATGCACATAACTGCAACTCATCTGCTATATGGTAGGTGCAACATTATTTCCGATTTTTTGCAAAAAAATAGTTCATTAGATAAGATTAAAAACAAAATATGAATGCGAAAATGGCTAAACTATTTCCGATTTTTTGCAAATGATGATATATGAATGAAGATTGGAAAAATAACATCTGGCTTGACCACACTACCATCACTATCTTTATGAGCCAAAGCCAAAGCCAAAGCCAGTTGGGTTTAAAATATCTTGTCTAAAATGACAACTAGGGATGTTCAAATTTATACATAATTGATATCAATCCAGATTATAGGACAAAAAAGTGGCAGATAATAATTTGGTTTTTTTTATTTTGTCACAAAACATGCCTAAAGCACAAAGCATCCTATCCTGTTGAAACATTGGATCAGCATATGCTCTTCTGGATGCAGCTTGCATCAGCTGGAAACGTCATTGATATTCCTACAACTAGAAAAGGCCAAGCAAGAATTTGATAGATTCCATCTACAAACACAAGAGGAGTTAAATGAGCAGCCAAGACGCGATGTTAAACCAAGTCTCTCTTTTGTTGGATTCTTTCGTTCCGACTTTGGCGGCTTTGTAAGATTAAAACTAAAATAATTATATATTTTTTTTAGTTGCCATTGGAATAATGGTAGGGAGGAGGACTAATGCAGATGGGACACTTGTGCCGAAGATTATTATAAGTTTTAAGTTACCACAAAGGGAAAGCGCAAGAGAAAGAGGATGCTCATCCAGAAGTTGGTACTTTTCCAAGAGGCCATCTCACTAGAATTCAGGATATGGGACAGAAAAAAGAGATGTAATCCATAGTAAAATGATACTTTACAACAATTTAATATGCTTATTTCGTAACAACCAACGTGGCACACACATGTATAACATTTTCGTACATTATAATTGAAACATAATTATAACATATGTATATGACATGATTTAACTAGACGGTGTATGTAACTCAAACAGGCACAAAGTCTCCACCGAAGTTTTTCTCTCGACAAAAAGTTCCTGATCAAAGTTGGCTGAGAATCTCTCTCCTTTATTCTTGTTTACAAAAACAAAAGTGCTACTAGATAAACTGGGGCATGCTCTGCATAATATACTTATGTAATTTATAGGAGTATCTTTACACGCATGCATGCATGGTGAAGAACTGCAAAGCTGTAAGAACGTGAGAACTAGAATTGGCCAGAGCTATGTAGACAAAGCTTAAAAAAGAAATTCCACTAACAAAAGAAAAGCGACCTATAGTAAACAAACAAGTCCTGCTAAGAACCTAGCAGTTACTTTTGTTTGATTCTCCGATCACAAACTGTTTGAGGAATTGGGTAGCTGGCAATTGGAATGAAACGACAATTGAACAGACTGATATTTGATTAAACTAATAGGTCTTTAATTCTGTCTATTAGTATGCTAATCTCTCTTGGCTTATTTTCTGTCAATTTCTTGGTGACTAATTAATGTGGTAAGTGAATGTGTTATGAGGTAAATGTCAAGACAGAGAGTTGGTTGGTTTGGATGGATGCTTGTCCTGTATTAATTCATGGAGAAAAGGGTACAGAAACGCAAGGACAAGATAAAAGACATGTGGGGTTTCAATTTAAAATCTAAAAATATCAGTCTAAAACATGCATGAAATTCTAAGGATGGTTAACCCCATATGGACAACACCAGATTTCTACTTGAACATATTTCAACTTGTGTTGCATACTTGGAACAAAATAGCAAGCTCAGACGATGTCTGTTTTGGATACGGCATTGTTCTTCGATCTAAAACGTTTAATTCTAAATTCTAGAGCGACGTTATCTTGAATTCGAGCACAATAAATTGTACAGAAAATATAAGCAGAGTAAGATCTTATGTTGAATTTATGTGGTCCTCTGTTTGATTAAAACCAACGTGGTCCCTAATTTAGTCATATATCATGCATGTTACATTCATAATATCTGTATACATATTTGTCAACCAAAAGGGCATACTGTCGTTGTGGAAATAAATACTGATCCATTAAAACATGGATGTCAAGGGCAGATTCTATGTCGAAATAGATTCAAAAGAGAATCACATGCACAATAAATTGAAAACGATCGACAGGCTGAGGATTTTGCTAGTTGGTAACAGCCTTTTGCGATAGCCCCAAGCCGCATGGGAAAGACAAGAAGATTGCCTTGCCTTGCCTCTTGCAACGTTGAAAGTTTCCAATATTGGATCGACAATGCATGCCACCCTTTAAATCATAGGCACATAGGTAGCTCCTCCACTAGCTAGCCTGGCTAGGTCAAGGAAAGAAAACCCTAATGCCATGTTTTTTTATGGCAAAACGTATGACTTTTCCGGGCCCTTGTTTCAGCTTTTTGAGCCCCCAAAAAACCGCAAGGTATCAAACTTCTCATGTGCTAGTTTAGAGACCATGGTACCAGAAGGGCACAGAGAAAAAGGACAAGGGAGAAAACAAGTCCATGTAAAGCAGAGCCCGAGAGATAGAGAGAAAAAAAATAGTGTGAGAAATTAACTTTGGGGCATGTGATTCATTCTCAGGGCTGCAGTAGATTCATTCAGTCAAAAAACAAAAGAAATGTAAACTAATCTGTCACTGCACATGCAAGGTCAGCTAAGCGTTTTAACCGGCGCAGTCAAAGGCAGGGCTCTTCCAAACCTGCCAAACCTAATCTTCTAAAGAGCTCTTCACTATATGGAGTATGGACCACAATCTACACCACAGAATTTAAAGTCTTGATGAACTAGAGGCATTTGCCCATTGGCCATTGGATTGAATGTGATGAAAGTAGAAAATGGCTCTTGGAGGGTTAAATTGAATGGCCAAATGGAAAAAAAGAAGAAAAAAACAACAACTCAATGAGAAGTTGGTTGCCACTATTATGATTTCATCTTCTTATACAAGTCAACAATACATCGAAAATATTTGCACATGTGAGTTCAGCTAGTTGATTAGGATAGTATACACGTCCCTTTACACGAACGTGAAAGTTACTTTCAAAAGAAATTTAACTAGAAAATTCTATTTTAAACCCCTATCTTTTACAACGTAGGCCTAAATAATATGATTAAAATATGGGATTATGTTTAAATGAGTATTTAGAATAGCAAAATAGGGAGGCATGGAAGAAGACAAAGCTGCAAGTAGAAATTGTTCGACCAACTGTCGGGAGTCGTGGTGTTTGCATTGGACACATAAACACATTAGCAAAGGCTAAAGACAACAAGCCGTTCTTTCTCTAACACCAACGCCCCCTCCAAACTATTTATTTAATCCATTCCAATAATTTCTCTCTCTCTCTTTCTTGCCTTTGACCACTTTCAAATCCAATTTGTCTCAAGCAGTTGATGAATAATTTGAATTGGTTTGTTAATCCACTAATCCCTATTGGATTTGGACCCAAACCTACTTCAAATATATTAAATTTCAATCATCAAATTCTTAGATTTTTGTTTGTCCAAACATGCAGATATAAGACTATCCATCTTGTCGGTTGGCCAATTAGGCGTCGTTTGTGTCGGATATAATTTTCACTGCCCATACATAAAATTTTGGCTATGCAATTTATATGTAGACAAAATTATAGCAAAGATTGTTCACAAGAAATGGATGAAAATTGCTTACCAATAAAGGGAATTAAAAATTCGTATAAAAGACATGATTATTTTATGAATACTACTTGCCTCCTTATCGGTAAGGATATATTACTTATTTATGTGAATCACAGTTTGACACATATGTAAAAATAATTCATTATAAGAAAAGGAGATGGAAAACAATATCTCAAATATTTTATTCAGATTTTATTTCTATCCAAACACTCAAAAAATTATTTTTCTGCCTTTCCTTTAAGTTTTCATACCAAAACACACAAAAAAATAAAATAAAATAAAAACCAGGACCGACAGTCACGGATACAGCCGACGGCTTTGCTTTAATTTGTATAAAAATATATTTTGTTTAGAAATTAGAAGACTTTCGGATGCAAAATACCCATATTTTCTGTTATTTAGACTTGGTCACATGTTTGAAGTTGATTTGACGTTATTAGGGTTCATATGATTCTATGCGTTCACATTTTCTAGAGAACTTGGTTTTTCTCATATAGCTGCTTTACCATTTGGATTTCAAAGTTTCAAAGAGTCAACCACTGATTTTCAACAAAATCTCTACGATTTTCTTCTTTGTTTATTCTTTTTGTGATGTATGATTTTCTTCTTTTACAAGAATTCAACAAAACCCTTCCATAATTTTCTTCTTTGACCTCTTCGGGCCTGCGTGTACTCGTGAGTCTAGGTTTGTCTAATTGCTTAAAAAAAAAACCCTTGTATTTTTTTTTTCTGTTTATATATGGGCCCTGAGCTTTCATATTATACTAATTGAGGGATTAGATTCTTCCCCCATTGCACACAAAAGTGAAAAAGGCAAAAAAAACGTTCTGGGTGGGATGGCAAAAGAGATTAATAAAAATAAATATTTAATTAAAAAAATCAAGTCAACCATTAAAGCTAATACTTAACAAGTAGTTCTCCTTCCTCTGTACACATGTGTGGTGCTGTATAAACCCCCAAACTCTACTATTTTCTTTTACCTAACATTCCCTTTCCTTCTGCCAGCAACAAACCAATATCACTACCCACCAAATCTAAACTTCCCTCTACCAATTCAAACAAAAGCATTTAAAATGGTGGGCCTTCTCCTCTATTTGTGCCCTATCAATTCATCCAACTAAACCCACCTACAATAACAACTACTATCACCAAATTCTCACCCCCACTCTTTCCTCTTTATGTACAATGCTCAAACCCCAAGCAAAGAATCATATCATATGCCAGCCAGCCAGCCAGCCAGCCAGCCAGCACAGTGAATGATAAAAACTTCCTACAAACCAAATGGAAACTTCCTCAAGAGTGAGATCTGATGAGACCCAAATTGTACAGATTCCTTCTCACTAGGCTCCCTAGTGATAACAAGACTGCCCCACCAACACCAACTGCTTGCTCCTCCCTTTCCCCCTTTGCATGATAAATCAATGGCAGTTCCTTCACTTTTAAGTCACTCAACCCTATTTTTTGCCTCACTGATTCAATGGTGTTGGGATCTGCAGGGTTTCCAATTGCATCAGTCACATAGAAAACGTTCAGGGCATTGGCCTTTGTTGTCGAAATCTCGGCCCTTGTCACGTTTAGACCGTTCTCTCGGAACGTTCTTGTAACATATGCTAGAAGACCTGGTCTATCCTCGGTGCATAGTTCTAGCCTCACACCCTGAAATGCAATAACCCAATTGAACCATTAGCATTTGCAACATCATGGAACATTCAACAAAATCAAATGATTAACAATTCAATTTAAGTAATACCTCAGAAGCTCTTCTTTGAATGGCAGCTTGTAAGCATTGGATTACGCGCTGTCGTTCGGGTTCAGAACTAATTGGGGTTCCATCAGTGTGCCTAATGTAAAATTCCTGAAACATAATTCAACCACAAAACCCTAGTCATTTTCATGTTTCAATAGTATAATAAAACCAGAACATGCCATAAACCAAACTAATAAGGAAAATAGATACATACCATGTGTCCTCTATCCCCTGCTGTTTTAACAGTGGCGTGAAATACCACATAGTCCATGTCTGTCAACGTGCAGACAACATCAAACAAAAGCTTTGCTCTATCCTTGCACTGAATATTTACAATGGAATAACCCCTTTCAGCCCAATTCTGCACCGTGATCACCGGTGAGTCGGTGCTGTGCTGCAAAATGGGCTTCCTATCATAATCACGATCTGCAAACATCATTTGATGCAGCCTTCTTTCGGTGTGTGTAACTGCCATGGAAACAGAGGTTTTCGCGCTCCGAATATCGTTGTCTCCCTTGAGAACATTCCTTAACCGCGCTTCAATTCTGTCAATTTTCTGTGAGTCTTCAATTGGGCAACCAGAATCACAGTCCTTAACGTAAATTAGGGAGGCGATCCGGCCATTGTGCGTCCACACCTTGGACTCAACCACATTGCATTGCAGGTCAGCTAGCACTGCAAAGACCTCGGAGAGAAGGCCAAGCCGGTCTGTTCCGGTGAGCTCAAGTGCTGTTAAACCGTTGCTGCAGTTGGATGTCCCAAAGTGAATTGTTCCAAGTGACTGTCAAATACAAAGAAATTAAGCAATTTCAGTTTCAATTCTGTAAAGGATCATAAACTTTAACAATAATGTCTTTTCATTAAATTGGGATTGAATGAATTAACTTACCTGTTCAATGTAATGAATGACGCTCTCATCCGTTAATTTATCCCCGTTTTGATCAGTGACATGAAAGACTGCAGCAGAAACCAAAAAGTCTTATTAAGAAACAAAATTCAAGAAATAAAATGCAACGGTAAAAAAAAAAAGAAGAGAATAATTTGATTTTCTTACCATCCATGAACCACCGTCCATCAGAAGAAATGTACGCTTTTTTAATGGTGAGGTTAAGATCCGTGAGGACCTGAACAGCCTCGAGAAGAATCCCATGCCTTCTAGCACTGTCGACCTGGAAAATCCAAAAACAAAACAGCGATTGATACACAATTAGTCAAATTTTGTGTTCTGGAAAAAATCAAATCTTCTTTTTGGGTTTTCGGAAGGCATTGAAATTAGAAACTTGGGTTTTCGTAGAAGCAAACCTTGACTAAAGTCGCAGTGGAGCAGACGGCATTATCGATCACGACCCTGCAAAGCAAAAGCAGCGAATGGTCAAGTCAGAGAAACACCACCAAAGCCACACCACACCACCTTTCGTTTTTTATTTTTATTTATTTTTTATTTTTTATTTCCCCAAGTTTTTAAATTTCAAAATGCTTTGAAAAGTCTGATGAAACGGGAAAATTGTAAGAAAAGTCAGAAAAAAAAATTATGAAACTTAGGTGCGAAAATAAATGTAAGGTTGAAATTTAGTAAAGTTGGCACCACCACTATGAAGAGGGGAAATCGAGAAGAGATCTGGATCGGTGAAATTTTCTCGAGAAAGCAAGAGAAAGTTCGAGATCACAGCACATCCAAAAAAGTACTAAACCCAGAAAAGCCGGAAATTCCATAATACCAGGGAAAAAATCAAACTGAAAACAAATTAAAAACTCGAAGCCGTTGAAAACCCAACAAATTTGTTTTAAAAAAAAGTCGTGAATGGTAGCCACTAACACTTTCAACAAAATCAGAAATTGAAACCCAATGTTGAAGAAGCGATGTATCTACCTGGGAGTGTTCATACGGAAGACGAGTTTCTCATATTCGTCGAGACAAGCAGTCCATTCCATGGCTCTAAATTTGTTTCAGAGAAAACAGAGGACTTTGAGGTAAAAATGAAGCCAAGGAATGAAGACGAAGCTGTTGCTTGGCCTTTAAACAGTCTCACAAACTCTGTGTGTGTGTGTCTTAGCGACGAAAGAATCGAAGAAACAGAAGAACCAAAAACTTTGCCGCCGTATCAAACAAAGCTCAATGCCTTATGCCTTCAGACTCTCGCTCTCTCAGACCTTCGGCTAAATCGCCATGAACAAACCTCACACAAGCACCAACCTTCTCTTCCTCTCTCTCTCTCTCTCTAAACAAGAAGGAAATGAGTCACTATTCTCTCTCTCTCTCTCTCTCTCTCTCTCTCTCTCTCTCGCTCTCTGTTTCCAAGCGCAAAGCACGCCTTGTTCTTAACACTCTGCGTCTTGCCTTCTTTGGGGGTCATATATATTTATTTCCAAATTTACTTTCTATAAATCATATTTTATTCTCTACCCATATAAATTAATATTTTATTCTTTTATATTTTTTTTATTTTCCTAACCACGCCCTTACGCAAAGAGCGAGGGCGGGTACTAGTTAGTTACTACTCCTCACATGGCATGGGCAAGGCCTGCCCGCGCTAACCGAACTCGCACTCTCACTCTAAAAAGGTCAACTATTAGTGACACGTGGCGACTGATCCCTTCCCCCTTCTGGTTTCATGCGTCCATCTCGGATGCCACGTGGGAGGAAGCGGGTCCCATGTTGATTGTTGATTAAGTTGGGCTTCGCCGGTCGGAATCATGACGTGGTGGGCACACCGGCTCGCACCGGCTTTTCGGCTTTTCCTCTGTCATTGTTTTCGGCCGGTTTTTCTTGTGCCTCAGTCGCTCTTAATGGCAATTCCGTAATTTTCACCACATAGACCGTTAAACTGGTCGTTTTGATGATGTTTCTAGTTGAGGAATATTCGGATCGACGTAACATTGCGTCATCAGTTCGAGTTAATCGCACCCTAATTGTTTCTTGTTACGCTAATCAACTTAACGACGATCCGAAACGACGTGGTGTATTTTAATTGGCGGGGGTCGCACGATTGGCGCGCATGTCTTTAGACGTAGTCGTGGAGGCACGCCTTCGGACTTATTATGTCGCGGCCCTCCCCTAACGGAAGGCGATATTAATTTTTCAAAATGCTTAGCGCCCCGACACGTGTCGAGAGCAGGAGTGACATCAACTAAATCGCCTCGCGAAGGGCCACGTTGGGCTCGGGGGTGGGCCATCCTGGTCTGACAATCACGTGCCTGCTCCATCACAAAACACGTTGGCTGCTTGGCAGCTGTCTGTGGCTAGCTACCGAACTGCCTACGTGGCAACGACCCGCGTAATAAAATGCTGCCGTCCCTTACCTAACGGTGAAGAGACGACGCTAGCTGGCTCTTCCCCACACTACCTACCTACGACATGCGCTGCACGTAACGGAATACGCAGGCTCCGTTATATTTGAAATCGTGGAGGGAGGGAGGGAAGGGAAAGGAAGCGTCGGTTATGAAAGTGACAGGTGTGGCGGTTAAACACTTAAAACGCACCGCTTCATTCAAGTGCAGTGGCGGGAAGATGGCCGCGTTTCCCGCCAAGTCGGAAAGAGGTAGGGTGGTGTGGGGGTCCACAAATTATCACGGGGAAGAGAAAATTCCACCGTAATATCCATATCGATATTGAGCAAAGGTGGGTCCCGTTGGCCTTTCGAAGCGAGAAAGGCTGCTTTAGTGGCTGGAAGGGAATGGTGACACGTCGATGACAGTCCAGTACGACGTCGTCGAATCAGTCTCTGTCCCGTCGGAACAAAATATCTTTTTCTTTTTTAATAATTTAAATTTCGGATTTATGGGAATTCCCGCTTTTTTTCTGGGGTCTGCTTTTTGACCGTTAAGTCTATGGAATGGCGCGAAAATCGAAACCCATATTCACGTAATAACACTGTTTGGGGCTGGGTTTTGTGGGTAGGGGGGTGGATTCTATACAACGGCGCCGCAGAATTCTCCGTGAGACACTCGCGGCATGTCTTAAGCTCAACGTGATTAACTGTTCCATTTGCTCTGCTGTGGAATATTTGCATTTTCCTTGCACGTCTGTGTGTTTTTTTTTAGCTTTCCATGAGGATCTGTACTTCGTCAGAAGATCTTGGCCGTCAAATTAGGGGTTACAAGTTTTGTCAGTTTTGGAGGCAGGCTTTGGTCAAAATCTCAAATTAGTAGCCATGTGAGCTCGTGGGGGAGGCTCTGAGTCTTTCTTTGACTTCCGTTTACGATGCAGAGCAGAAGAGGTCATTAGGAATGGTCCCTTTTTGTATAAACACGTACACATGTGTCACATTTTATTTGAATTTCGTCCTTCTTGGTTTCCCATTTGAGAATTGGATCATCAATTTTGTCATCTGTAATTTTTGTCAATTTGATCCTTTTCTCAAATGGGTATTTTCCACAGAAAGAAAAAATAAGAAAGATCCCTAATGGCATTTGGTGTGTTCTCCGATTTCAAAACTATGACCGCGTGAGCAACTTGTGGTCCATATCTAATTTCATTTTTTATTAAAAAAAAAAAAAAAAAAAAAAAAAAAAAAATTCAATCAACTTGGATGGATATGACTCATCTTTTGTGTCACAAACGTGTAGATTTAACATAATTTTATCCAACAAACATCCTTTTTATTGATGTAATAAATGAGGTCATGAACGTAGGATGTATTCTTATATGTAAAAAAACGCAGTGCTATTTTGAATTAAGATCTTATTGGAATTGTGTGTATCTTGTATTTGTGTGTCTATGCATGGCAATGGCATGCACACATATCTTGGAAACTTCATTCGGTGTCACCTAAGATTATGTAAGAAATGATTGCATTCATGTAAAGAAATGATCATATTTTAGAAAGTCTCTTCTTTAATGTCGAAAATATACAAATATTTAAAGGGTACAAGAAAATCTACATGTGAATCTCTAATGGTCGCGCCTCTCCAATTTAGATTGAAAAAGCAGAGACGGTGGGATCACTATGAGACGGCTGACATTTCCACTCAAGAGCAAGCAGAAATGATAAAGCAGCTGCAAGACCTACCCAAGAAAACGTAAACAGGGGGCAATAGAACTGGCGAAGTCCTTGGGGGTCCCGGGTAGGCTTGCCTTGCAAGACTGGTTTCAAAGCTGCATGCTTTGATTTTCTCATACGATCTAGAAAGTAGAAATTGATCACAAGTCTTTTGACCCACGACCTACTTCATTTTTAATACCGAAAAGTGTTCTTGATTTCGTATTGGAGGTCCTAGATTACATTTATAAATACTTGACCAAAAAAAGAAGAAGAAGAGAAGAGACTTTGAGTGCACATTTTGTGTGGCCATATAGATTGTAGTCCATACTCAAACTAACTTATAAATTAGTAAATTAATATGTAATATGATTTTGACCAATAGCTACGCATACTTGATGATACATCAAAAATTACTCTAAGAAACTTAATTATCATACATCAAATTATGATGTGCGGCTATGCATGCACTTTCTCCGTTCGTCAATTAAATTATTATTATTTTTTTATATAAATGAAGTCTAAGGGTCTGTTTGATATAGAGGAAATGAGAGTGAGAATGGTTGATTCGATGAGGCTTCCTTTAACATCACGTTTTGAGGATGTTTTATCTGATATATATATATATATATATTTTTAAAGTCCTATTGCAACAAACAAGTTTGGCATTCCTAAAATCAGATTCTGCAAAGGCATTTTCCGGGTGCAATTTGGTACTACGTGACCACCATATTTTGCTGCAATAGTTGGTACGAAATCAAGTTTGCCAACTGGAGAATTGGGGGTTGGAGAAGAGGACCTGTCAGGACATTGAACAATATAAAAATCCTTCGAATTAATGTCAACAATAAGATTGTGACTGCTTAATGTTGCCCCCATTTCCCACCCAATAATATTTGACAATTTCAGAGTTGTGGCCATTGTAGTCCTTTTGGCTTCCCTTGAGAAGACAGCATACCCAATTGGACAACTCTCAATTTCTCAATTGAAAACACCAACATTTAAATCATTAATTATAAATTATATAATTTCTTCACCATATGCTAGCACTTACTAACCATGGAAATTAAGATAAGGACGTATATGATTGTGATTAGTTTTTGTAGTTGGAGTGCATGGTTGGTGCAAAATTTGCCACTAACCTTGATTAGCTCATGCTGGCATATTGCATGCCCGTCCTAAAAAAATATTTTAAACAATTTTAATTAATTCATTGCCAATCTTTTATTCTAACCCTTTTAGAACTTGCGGTTTCTTTGGCACCAAAGGATTCTTAGACTGAGGCACAAAATCCTCAAGGCTTCTTAGATCTAAGTCCAAAACGATTAGTTGTTATTGGGTTTAATCTTCGCGTTTTTTGTTTTAGATGTAGGTCCTTTGACATTTATTACTTTTTTTGTTGTGTCGATTTTACCCTTTGAGGTAAATAAGGAAAACTCATTGAAAATCTAAATTAATGCATTATTTCCTTGTAATTGAATTTCAGAATTTAAAATTTGAATTCTTTCCTTGATAATATTCCTAATATATAGATAAAAGATAATTTAATCAATAAAAAGTAAAGACCCACGTATTATACTAATCGATCAGACAAGCACTCACATTAAATTATGTACATGACATACATGTAAATAGTATTATTATTAGCAACAAAAAGTACTTAATGATAAATCGTGTTACCTATAAACTAGGAACATAAATTAAAAGACTACCTATAAGTCAGATTCAAAATAGACAAAATAAAATTGTATGTTGCCTATAAAAAAAAGGTACATAAAATATTATTACACATTGTGGAAAATATGGAAAAAAAAACACATATATTTATACCTATGCAATAGGCAATATGACATAATGACTATTACCCAATTCAAGTCGTAAGGAGCAACATTATAACAAAAATGAATTTAAAAATAAAATATTAAAAAATGAATGTAATTATATGTGACACAA